GGAAATCTCTCTCAAACACTAAAATTAAGACTCCAAGACAACAATATCATGCACAACCCTAACCCTAAACATGTTAGCCCAATTTATACTAAATAAAAATAAATAACACAAGACTAAATTGCGCTTAGGCTAGGCCTAGGCACCAACGTAACAATCGCCTACCTCTCGAACTATAGATGTTATCATTTATGTTTTATGTTAGTGATTGTATTATTTGCTTTGGAGAAATAAAATATTTATTTTGCCCTAATTTCTACGGAGAATCCTATCAAATCATAATGTCAGATTTATATTCAATTTGGATCATATTGGCTTTCCCCGTGATATTAAGACTATTATGCACGAACCTACCAGCACTTCTAAAATGATCACTTCAACATTGGTTAATGATACATTGGAACTAAAATTGACAATCTGAAATGTTCCCCCTTTTACACCTATTGGTGGAGAAATGTTGAGCATTACATTCAACATGGAGAGGATTCTCATGGGAATGTTATGAGCGAAAATCTTTTGATAAATAGAAAATCTCAAATCCTATTTACCAGAATAGTTCATAAAAAACTATTGTCATTCTCATCTTTTCACCAAGTTCTAAGCAAGGCAATTCAAATGAGTAGTTTGTTCTACTTTGTTGTTTTTCTTGTTCCATCCTTTTGTATTTTTCTTGTAATTTTACAATTCTAGGCAATTACTATTGATGTACTCATATAAATGTCTTGCTATTACATTGTATTTTAAATTTTATAAAATTTTCATTAGAATTTTTAAGATTACATAGCATGATAATATCTTATAAATGTGAGACATAACATTTAAATCAACTTAAAAACATGATAAACATTTTAATTTAAACAAACTCAATATAATTATAATTCTAGATAATTCTAGAGGTTAAGAACTAGACTCCTATATTGAATAGGAGCAAACTTAGGCATCCTTAGTTGAATAAGCTAAGAAATTCTTCAAAAAAATAATACTTAGTCGATCCTGGAGTTGAATTTGCTTGAACAAATAAGGGGATTAGCTCAACCATTTTCATCTAAGTATTACAACTGAAAAAAAGTCTAAATGGCCAAAATATAAAAACATAGAACAAAAAGAACAATATTTGTCATGTATAGACCAAAGACAATAAATAACTCTACAGAGCTTTAGGATTGGAGAAATATTAAAATTAACCAGTTAAAACTATTCAACTATTAATTAATATTCTTTAAAAAATCATTTTATCATCTCATTTAACATCTTCTAAACACACACAAACATAGGTATCTTATATGTTCAAATTTGATCATAGCAAAAAATAGTAGTTCATAAATTCTCTTTAAATGATGGATTAGCAATCGGCGGCAAGGGGGTAGGGTGGAAGTAGAAGTTGGAGAGGATAATCACCATTGGGGGAAGGGGATACAGCCGGAGCACCACCCTACCCGTCAGATACAGCCGGAGACAAGGAAAACAGGATGTCGACGACTGTTTGCTAAGAATTGAAATCAGAAACAAGATAAAATTGAACCATATAACCAGAAAACAGTGATTTATAAACTCTTACATGTTGAAAAAAAAGAAAGGAATAGAATGGAGGAGATCACGTAAGAAAGGCCCCCTAGGGAAGCCGCCAGTTCCAACAGTGACCTAGACCGGCCCCTTTCTGTCGACTGATTCTGCCGACTAGCTATTTCTCGCATCTGAGCATAATGAAGACCACGCGCATCAATTGGTTGTCCTAGATGAAGGTGAGTTCAAGGTCATAATACCAGACACACGGGAGTCTCAACTAAGTGGATTCCAAGAATGTCTGACCTACAATCTACCTCCTAGGTTGCCACTACTGAGAGAGGTCCGGCATATCATCACCTTAGATGAAGATAAGAAGTTTTTGAGCTATTTGGAGAAGAAATTTTGGGGTAACCTGAGAACAAAGTTATTCCAATTCAATTCAACAACACATTCCCAGATAGATGGTCTGGTGAATTTCTATCTGGGAAAGCTCTGTAAGTGTTTTTTTGGGAATGAATATCGAGCATGGGGATCCATATTCTTCTAGAGAAGCCTTTCTTTGTTGGGGAAAATGATGCCGGAGCTTTTTGAAAAACTACAGGATTCCAGTACCACGAGATCAAGATTCACGATCGCAAGAATTTCGTGATTCTGCAGAATTTGGAAGGTCTCGCGATAGCAAATGAGTCGCAATACATGATTATGTTCCGATTCAGCTTTTGCGTGATTGTTTCCTTTTTTTATTTGTCTTCATATTTCGTTCATTCTAATTAAGGCCCCTTTCTATTATTAGACTATTTATGTATTTGGCTATTTTTTGTACGCTAGCTTTCGTTTGAATATTTTGGAGATTTTAATCTATGTATTCTACCTTAAGGAATGTTGTATTATCACTCTTTTGCAAGTGGTGTGTCTGTAGCTTGTGCAGGAACACAGGGTGAATTTCCTTGTCTTTCGTACCTCATTGTTTCAGAATTTCCTTTATTGTTTCAGCGGGGACTACTGTCGAACTGCATATCTCAATCCAAATGTCGTCGAAGTTGAGTATTATCATTCCCTCACTATTCTACAAACCCAACCCCACTAGATTTGTTTCATAAACACCTTCTAAGGCCTAGAATGATATCGAGTGTTGTTAGATACTCTTAATAAGAGCTTCAAAGACGTCTGCCCCCTTAACAAACCCAGGAAATAAAAGGATGCCCGCCATTCTATAAAAAAATGAAAGATTTTTTAAAAAGATTTTTTTTATATTCTTTTTTATTTGTATAAGAATTTTTTAATATATAAGATATATTCACTATTCTAAATTAGAGTGTGTGCAAACTCCTAGCAGACTTTCTATCACGCATAATAGATTTTCGACTTTTCATCCTCCCCCATTATCTCAACCACAGTGGTCGATTCCGATATGGGATATAGGGTCTGTTTGGGGTAGCTGCAGCTTATTAAATAATCTGCTGATAAGCAGATTAAAAATAATCTGCAGATAAACTACGTGTAGTGACTATTAGAAATTTTTATTTTTTTTCAAAAGTTTGGCCGCTGTCAGAAAGCAGCCACCGCACCTAGATAGGTGCAATGTGAAAAAACTGCTTTCAGCGTTTTCAAAACGCATAAACTATCAAAATGCAGTTTACCCAAATAGTCCAGGTATATTTTCATAACGCCACCGCACCAAATAAGCTGCCCCAAACGGACCCATAGTGAGGTCAAAAAATAAATAAATTTCATTAACTCAAAACATTTTTATTATTAAAAACATAAAATAAATTTCAATGATCATGAATAACATATATTTTCAATTTTCTGAATCTTTAAGAAAAATATAATTTACTGAATCACAAAATTATTTTCCAGCAATCAAAGCCATTAATGAGAAAATTATTGATACATTTTACAGTTATCAACTAACCTTGTTGTTTGTGTTCAACCAAGATTAATTAGCGCATTTGTGTTCAATTTGCTTAGAAATGAACTGAACCAAAAAAATCCCTAGCATGTTCATGTTCAACTCATTTATACCTCTATTCAATTTGATGTCCACTTCCCTAGCACTACTTTGTGATCCTCCTCTTAGTCAACTTATAGATGGGTGTTACTTGTGGCTTCCAATTTATGTGATGAAAATTGGAACCCTTCACTTCAATGATTTTCTGTCATGTTGGATAAAGCATTTTGCGATTATCGAAGGACAGAATCCCCTTGCGGCTTCGCCACCACTTCCAATAATCCACCACCACAATTGATAACTTTCTCCTCCCTACAATTTGACTTACTGGATCCAGATGCCAAGTCATCAACAGATTTTTGCATTTGTTTGATCCTTTTTCTTTTCTTAAGGGTTGAATAAGGGGATTTTTTCGAATAAGCTTTAGGATTATAATTAAAAGTCTTGAACATATATAAACTCAATCAATTTGAATTCTAAATAACCTACTAATTGGACATGATATTCCTCTACTTCCAGAAGTGAACTCTTAATAAACTTGAAGTTTTTAAGGAAAGGCTAACTAATTGTATAAGAGTGAGGCTAGATTCTATGGCTTTGGTGACTTTTTTTCATCTATTTTTATTCAATGCTCTAAATTATGTTTTCGGATTGGTTATATAAATGGTTTTATTAAATTTTGATACAACTTAATTTCAAGAAGAATGTTTTCTTGATTAAGAATTTTCAAGCATTTTCATCATCAAGGATTATAACTATCTGACTTGATTCTCATTGTAGTTAGTTATCAACGGAAGTTAAGAATAGTAATTAAAATTAAGTGTTTGAGGAATACAAAATTTTATATGCATATTCCACGATTTTGCGTATCTCATGATTGATCTTCACTATAAATCATAGATCCTGAAATGCCCTAAATAAAAAATGAATTAGTGTGACATTGTTTTTTCATTTGTTCTGCCCTGATACCAAAAAAAAAATCATACAGAAGTACAATAAAGTGGCATCAGGAGCACTTGTTGCAATGGCGTGGGACTTCAAATACAACAGCACTAAGCTTTTGTCCCACTAAGTGGTGTCGGCTACATGAATCTTTTTTCTCTATTATGTCCTATTGAGTGTCATATTTTCATTTAATTCTAATAGATTAAGATCATTTTTTATATAATATGTCCAAATCTTTTTAGGTCTATCTGTCTTTCCGAACATAAGTTAAATCTAAATATATAATATCAAAGTTATGTGTCGCATTTTGTCTCAAATTGTCAAGCCACTCATCCACCTAAGCATTCTCATCTCAGCGCAGCACATAACTTTGTTTTATGCTTCTCTTTTAAAGACCACAATTCTGAGTCATAGAGCATTACAGGTCTCACCACCATCTTATAAAATTTTCTCAATCAAAATGGTACTTTTCTATCACACAATAGGCCCGATGCTTAAAAATATCGCATGGTGAGACATAGTTATAAGTGAAAAAAAAAATAGAAACTTTAGAAAATAGCAATAATTCTTTTATATAAAGCAAAAATGCAGAATTAAGAACCTGTTCAATGCGTCTTTGAAGCTGCAGCCTGTAGGACCTAATTTTTCTTTCCTCATATCCAGAAATAACTCTAACAACGAACCAAGCTTTTCTACCAAATTCCAATAACTTATCCATCGTTCAAAGCAATTTAAAAGGTTGTTTGCAGCATAGAACAGTTATCTGATCAGGGACTGTCAGCACCAAAACAATGACATAGTGAAAATCAAAGAAAGTTAAATCATAAGAACTTTCAGCAGTACTCCTCGTTTAACGTGAATAACAAAGGAAAAAAGTATCCCCTTCAAAATGATAGTAAAATATAAAAGAAAGCAGCGTTGTTAAATTGGATTTGTGTTTGCTATTAAAGCAAAACACTGTAGAAATATTCCAAAGCAAAAGAGATGCTCAATATTGTTTACAAGGGAATTAACCTAATGAGTCATATAATAAATTTAAAGAGTATAGAACATATACATAGAAGATTTATAATGGTAGAAACAATCCGATTTTATGTCACAAAGCTCCACTACGAAGACACCTTTTTTGCTGAGAAGATTAATGGAAGAATATAGTATGTAAATATAGATTTTTTTTTGTAGATATTAAAAAAATATGATCAAGTACCATAAAGATTGATTGGTGGACATTGAAAAAAATTAGTGTAAAAAATATGTTAAAAAATCAGAGGATATACATGGTGATTCATTACTAATATTAGAAATAACTGTGAACTAACCATAGAGTTCCCAATCCTAGCGGGCATACATTACATGCAATTTTAATACATTTGATATTAATTATTATCAACCAATATTATAAAAAAAAGTGATTTATATGTTTGATTATACTAAGTATCTTAGATACTGTACATAAAATAAGAACTTATATGAGGAAATAACTTCTAGAATTAAAGCCATGGGGTTAGAAGTGATTAAAAGAAAGAAGTGCCTCAGAAGTATCATGTAGTACAAGAAAATATCACAAATAAAAATTTTATAGAACCGTAAATAAGCTGGATCTATCAAATAATTTAATCTACACAACAAAAGTTATTGATAGTCAAGTTATGCATGCAAAAATAAAATAAAATAAATCAAAATAAATGGGTCAAATATTAAGACAAATAAATTTAGAAATAATGATATTAAAGGAATGAATGTAATGGTAATAATATCTATTGAAAATAAATTTTTAAATAAAAAATCGAGGCAGCTTGCATATGTACGGTGAATGATAGAAAATGCACAAATAACAGGTAGACAAAATCGATGTCAAAGAATCAAAAAAGTAGAATACCAAATAAACATAAATAGAAGTTTCCCAAAATAGTTGCGTGGAATAATTTTAACACCTTCGTTATCACCCAAAAATAATGAATAAATAAATGATTTCAAAAAGGCAACCCAAATAATTAAGAAAAGGCAAAGAACTATGATATTGATGAATAGACATCAAAAATCAAATTAATCATGCTTATTAATAGAGTTTAACACGTGAAAATTTAGTTAGTTCAGTTATCGAGAAACTTTTGCATAAACATTATTCAACAGAGAAACGAATATGTAAATATTAAAAATATTATTAATCATTAAAAAATGAACAAAACATATCTACGAAAAAACAAAACAATATACATGTTTATGAAGTCAATGATAAACAAATAGAATGATGCAAGAGAAAGAAGCAACTTTTTTATATAATTATTATTGATATATTTGAGTGCAAATTGCACTAAATAAAATCAAAGAGTTGATAAATACAGCAATATCTTTAGAATTAATAAAATTATTAAGTCCCTTGGCTCCAATTTAAGTTGTGCGGTAGTTTATGGAATAAGGAATGATTAAGATTAACTCCATCTCATGGGTGTGAATTTGGGTTGACAGTTGATGTGTAAAAAATGTGTGATATATGTATATGTGAATTATACTTTTTTATATATCATTTTCATGCTTTTGTAGAATATATATATATATTCTACAAAAGCATGAAAATGATATATAAAAAAGCATAATTCACATATACATATATCACACATTTTAAGATACAGGTCTAAATCCAAAACTTGACCACTTGGGAGCAACAAATTAGTTAAGCCATGTTAAGTACCTGGCACCCCAGTTTAGCGCTTAGGCGCTGGTGAAGATTCCTTTCATGCGGTGAAATAGAGAGGACAACATCTCAGTGCCAGCTCAATAGTATCGCCACGCTTGTCTTTTGTGCCCCAATGCCACCCTACCCAACACCTTAGCGTCTGATGCCCTAATTTGAAGATTCAGGGCCACGAAACCCAGCGCCGCTGCAGCTGCATCCAGCGCTCCGACGCCATAGGGTCAATGTCTCAGTGTTCCCCACCGACTTAAGATGATTTTTGGCAGTTCGAGCAATCCAAAGGGTTAAATTCACTACATTTTCATTCGGGAGATGATTCAACCTTTTAAAAAACTTGAACACAATAAAGGAAAAGATAGTAGGTATATGTGTGTAAGAGTGTGTGTGAGATTTACTTGTATTGAATGAGAGTGAATAGAAGTGTGATTTCATTGTTGAGGAAGGACTATGGTGGAGCAAAAAGAAACTCATATCAGATTTGAACGTTTTTCATTTGTGTAAATTTTAATTTATTTCAATGAAATTTGCTTTGTATTCTTTCCACATGTTTAGGAACTAAAAGATTTATGCTAATTTGATTTATTAGTGTGATGATTGTTATTCAATAAATGAGATTTTTCAAATATAATTTGGAATGTAATTACATGTTAGTGTGTTAAATTTTCAAATTTAATTTAATTTCAAATTGATCACTTGAAAAATAAAAACCCTTGTGATCTAGGACTATTGACCGTAGTAAAAAAAAAAAAGTAACACCCAATCACTTGATCGAATAAAAATATTGTCATTAGGAAAATTATAACCACATAAGAGAAAGAGAATTCCTGGAAGATTATGCATGGTTAAGCAAAATTTAAGCATAAAATGAGACTCTTAATGCATATTATGCTAGGAATAGAACAATGAGTAGTTCTCCCTTATTGTCAACATCAAATTTGGAAGATTTATTGAGAGAATATTGATGATTCACATGATTTATATCAAATAAGCATGATGTTCATATTAGAGAACAAAACCTTCGTAGATTTACATTTACAAAATTAGGAGTTTGACATTTCCAAAACTTTCACCATTTTGAACTAGACTTGAGGTCAGTAATCTAATACTTTGACTTATTTGAAAATTAATAAAGTTCCTTGTGAGAATGATAATCAGATTCTAAATACATATATTATTTGATTAACATGTATACTTGCATGTTATCCCATGCTTTACAACATCATGAATGGATCAAATTTTTTGTGTCGTTGTCGGGGAACGATATTAAATTTTCAAATAAGACAAATATTAGTTGAAATTTTGATGTTTAGATTTGAAAATTGCAGTGTTAATTTCGCCCTATACTTTGTTATATGTTTTAGTTATTTTGTTTATACCTTGTACTTTGTTATGTGTTTTAGTTATTTTGTTTATATTTTAAAATTTTAAGAGAATCCTCAAAATATTATGAATTGATGTTTTAATTGTTTTATATATTATTGTTATTATTGTAAAGTGTTAGCTAGCCAAACAAAGAGAAAAGAAAAGTAAAGATTTAACTCAAGTAAAGTGTATTAAAGATGAAAATCAAAAAGTACTTTTCTTAGAAAAAGATATTCAACATAGGTGGGTGAGTTACTTTGATAAACTTTTTAATGAAGTTTCTGAAAATACGATCGAACTTAGTGATTTTAATATCGTAAATAATAATAAAACGTTTCATTTTTACCGTCGCATTAGCAAAAAAGAAGTTGAGGAGGCTTTAAAGAAAACCAAGAGTGGAAAGTCTGTAGGACCTGATGATATCCCAATTGAAGTGTGGAAATATTTGGGAGATTTGGGAGTTTCTTGGCTTACTAAACTCTTTAATATTATTTTAAAAACTAAAAAGATGCCTGAGGAGTGGAGGAAGAGTATTTTGATCCCCATTTTTAAGAATAAAGGGGATGCACAAGAGTGTGCAAATTATAGAGGAATTAAGTTGATGTGTCATACTTTAAAATTATGGGAGAGGGTAATTGAACATAGGTTAAGATGCATCACGAAAATTTCTCATAATCAATTTGGATTTATGCCTGGCAGGTCTACTATGGAAGCTATACATTTATTGAGAGGTTTGATGGAGAAGTTCAGAGATAATAAGGAGAATCTACATTTGATTTTTATTGATTTAGAAAAAGCTTACGATAAGGTTCCAAGAGATATCCTTTGGAGAGTCCTCGAGAAGAAAGGTGTTGATATGACTTATAATCAAGTCA